ATGGATCGGGGTTGTGTGTTTTATAATTTAAGACTTGTGTTAGGGTCTTATGGCTTTGGTGTTATTCGTTAGGTTGCTAGATGATCGTTGTATTCATTAGCGAACCTTGTGTTTTTATTCATGTGGAACCCCGAATCTTGTTTAGTGCTTTTAAAGATGAATAAATGAGTGTTTTGAGTTATTATATTCCGCTGTGTATTGTTAAAGAATGACTTAGAAAAATAAAGAAAAAGTTCAAAAATATGGCTAAGTATAGAATTGGACTTAGAGGATGTAGTGGGACACAGCCGCGGTACGGTTTACCGGGTTGGGTTACCACACTTACCTTCTCTGATTCGCATACAAATCGATTGCTCTGGTGATAATTTGCCTTAGTTTTTCTGAGTAACTGCTCGTAGTGGTCCCGACGAACTAGGATCAATCGTCGTTTCGTCCCCTTTTTCTTTTAAATTTTGCCCTAAAATTAACTTTGATCAATTCGGAAGATGAAAGAGTGATTTAAGCACTATTTTACGCCAAGATCCGACTAAGGATCCACAATATATGGGCGAACTAGGGTTTGGATGGATTTGTCCTGGTTGGGTCAGTAATTTTGTTAAGTTTTTAAGAGCATATTCGATATCTTCTCGTTTTCTCTATTTAAAATAAATGTCATAAAATTACCCAAATATAACGGGGTATATTGAATCATTTTTGAACCACGAGGGGCATCTCAGCTATTGATCCGAAAATTCGTGACAGAACTCGAACAATAAAGGAAATCAATGGATAGATTTCTCGTCATTTCCTTTTTCCGAAACCCAGTCCCATCTAAGTACATAACGTTATAACCTAGTAGTGGTCTCCTCTCTCACTCGCATCACTCCTCATATTTCCCTCTCTCTCTCTCAATTTCTCTCTCTAGTTCCATAATCTCTCTTTCTCTGCGTTTGTTAGATCTAAAAAAAAACGATGGCTTTCTCCAATGACCTTCCACCACAAATTAAGAAAGATGCGAAGAGAAGAAGCAGAAAAAGAAGAATGATGAAAAGCAAAGACCTTAAATTAAATGTTATTTTAAAGTAAATTTGTCTCTAACTCTACTTTAAAATAGAGTAACCCTAAATTATTTTCCATATTTGGAGTAAACCTAAATTTTATTCAATTTTGAAATTAATTTTTTTTTATTTGTAAACTGATCTTTCAAATATTAAATAAATAATATAAAACAGATAGTCATATTATTATTTGGTAAGCAAGTTGGACTGTGGTTGAAAGTTATGATGGTTGATTACTATTTACCCCTTATATAAAAAGACTTTATTTACCCTTAATGAAATTAACAAATTAATATAATCTAATTTTTGATTTTTATTTTATTTAAATCTAAATTTCCAAATTCGAGTTTATATCATAAGAATATTCAGTTTGTTAAAAAAAGTAATTAGCATATATCATAAAAAAATCAATTCTAATTATTTTCTTAAACTAATATTAATTTGATCGTTTAACCTATTAATATTTTTGGTCAACCTAATTGATTTATGTGGTTACAAGTAAAACTCAAAATTTTATGAAAATTGATTTATATATTTCATGAAAATTTTATTTTTTAAATATATTAATTTTGCTTTTAAATAATTATAAAATCTGATTTTTTTCATCTATAAATAAACTAATGTTATTATTTAAAAAAAAATTAATCGAACTCCATACTTTGTGCGGAGAAACACCTAGTTATAAATATTTATACACTATAATTACTATTAGAAAAGTTTGCAAAACAAAAAAAAAAACTTAAAAATACATAACAAGTACTGAAATTAATATAATCAACATAAATAAAATTAACACAATAAATACAAGAAAATTAACAATCCCCTAAAGGCCTAAACTATTTCATTATCCCCCAAGATCATTCAAAAATTATCGAAGTAAAGTTGGTGTAGCAGAAAATTTTCTCTATTTTTATGATATCATATATTTTTCTTTATTTAATAAATATTTACTTTATAATTTATATAACTTTTTCAAATAACAAAATAAATAAGGTTTATTATAGAAATAAAAGATATCATTTATAAAATAAAAAATAATCTATTTAGAATATTCTTTTTATATTAATAGATAAAGGTATATATAATGGAGCAAAATATAACTCTATTTTAGATTTACTCTAATTTGGAGTAAAAAATGAAGATAAACATTGGGATGATTCTACAACTTCCAGATTTTGCTTTATGTACTTTTATGTGATTCATTTCTTTTTGTATGATGTTTTGGATTGATTTTAAATTGTCTATATAGAATGCATCAAAATATAAATACCTTATCGAAATCATTTTTTTTTGTTGAAAGATGAATCTGTTTTATTTAATTTGATAATAGATTGAAATAAATTAGAAATATTTTGTAAAAGTTAGGAACAGAAGAACTCTGATTTTGTAATATAAAAATTAAATAATAAATATATTATTTTATACCTTAAACCATAGACATATAAGTTTATGATCCGACTGGTTTAAACGGTGCGGTAACAGAGAGTTTATGGAAGCGAGCGATTGCAAGCTATAAAAAATTTGACGAAGAGTTTAGCGGAGAGCTACTAGAGAATTTTATAAAATAAGAATTCATAAACTTTATAATAAATTTTTATTATAATTTAGATTGAAAAATCATATATCATAAAATACTGAAAAAAAAAATTAATTAAATACAAAACGATAGAAATGATTTTTGTGATTGTTGTTAAACACCAAAAAACTGTATTGTGTAAAATCATAATGTTTGCAAAAATATCAGAAAAACTAACCAACACATAAATATTAAAATTCACTTATTTATAATTCATACCTACATGCATAAATATATATATTTTTATTAAAAAAATCAATCATATATTATAAAAATATATATTACAAAACAGATATTTTGTTATTTTCTTTTAACATATAAAAGTCATAGTTCGATTTTTTTTTCACAAATATACATATAGATATAAATATTAAGTGTGAAAAAATCTAAGTTGCATGCAAACTTGTCGTGCATACATTTTCTTAACCTTGATTAAGTCTAATTTTAATTTAGTTATTAGTTAATTTATATTTATTAAAAAAAATTATATATGTCCTAAGAGCAGTGAGGTGGTTGGTACACACCAATGTGTGGACCAACCATCTACCCGCTCTTAGGATAAGTAGTGATGATAAAACTCATTTTGGTTTACTTAGCAATAGGTCAAAAAAAAATATATACTTGAAATATATATATTGACAAATTATATTGTGCAAGAGGAAAAAGAAATATAATATAAATAAAATTCAAAATATATTATAAGAATTTAATTATTTTTAATATAATTTTTACATTCGCAATTATATGTTACTCTAAACGCTAAAAATAAAAACAAAATGTTTTTAAAAGACACAATTTGATATGAAATGTTTGTGTGATTGTTGTTAAACACTAAAACTATATATGTATAAAAAGTGTAACGCTTACATAATAAGTTTTCCAAAGACACAAAATGATAGAAAATGTTTGTGTGATTGTTGTTAAACTCTAAAACTGTATATGTATAAAAACACAACGCTTACATATATATAAGAAATTATTCAATACTAAAATATTACAACTAATTATGTCTATAAAAATGTATAATTTCACATGTGTGCGGACCAACCATAAAAATTAAATAATTTATTATATATTTTAATATTTTTAGTTTATTTAATTATCATATTTACACTTTTTATCTAATGAAGTATTTTAAAAATCTGGGTTGATATTTTTTATCTTCAATTTTCATATTTAATATATAATATTAATCATATATTAAACATATAAAATATTTTATAGCCTGCATATGGTGCAGACCAATCACCTAGTATCATATAATTTTCTTTATTTAATAAATATTTAATTTATAATTTATATAACTTTTGGAAATAGCAAAATAAATAAGTTTTATTTATAAATTATATAAATAAAAGATATCAATAATAAAATAGAAAAGAATCTATTTAGAATATTCTGTTTATATTAAAAATAAAGATATATATTGGAGCAAAATATAACTCTATTATAGAGTTATTCTAATTTGGAGTAAAAAATGAAGATAAACATTGGGATGATCCTATGACTTCCAGATTTTGCTTTCTGTACTTTTATGCGATTCATTTCTTTTTGTATGATGTTTTGGATTGATTTTAAATTGTTTATATAGAATGCAACAAAATGTAAATACCTTATCGGATTCATTTTTTTTGTTGAATGATGAATCTGTTTTATTTAATTTGATTATAGAATGAAATAAATTAGAAATATTTTATGAGATTCGTTTCTTTTTATACGATGTTTCTATTTTTTTTTTTTGACTATAGAATATAATAAAATAGAAACATTCTATAAGATTCATTTCTTTTTAAACGATGTTTCTATGTTGTTTCGTTTTTTTGTTTGACTATAGAATGCGATAGAATGAAAACATTTTATTTTTGTGCTTCACAACACAATTTTTTTGTCTAATTTCAAAATTTAACATATGATATATCGAATATTTTATGGCTAAATAAGAAATGGTTGTTTTAAAAACATGCAAAATTTTATATATTTTTTATTTTGTTTTATGCAAATTCATTTCTTTTTGAATGATATTTTTATTTTGTTTTATTTGATTTTAACTGCTCTAAATAAAATGTAACAAAATAAAACACAAACTATACTATTTTTTAAATGATGTTTTTATATTTTTTCATTTGTTTATAAATTCTCTTTACAGAATTTTTATAGAATGAAACAAAATGAAAATACTTATTTGATTTTAAATGTTTTATAGAATGCAACCAAATAGAAACATTGGTGAAGATAAAATCATAGCTACTAGAATGGTCATATGGTTAAAATGAAAAAGGGTAAAAGTATTATTTACTTTGTTTAGAAATTTATGTGGCTATACGACTAAAATTGGTCATGTAAAATTAATTACTTGACTAATTCACTTCTTACTTCTTCTTCTAATTTTTCTTTCCTCTTCTTTTTAAGCGCGTTCTTCATTTCTATGGATATTCTTCATTGCACTCTCTTCTTCCTCTTCTTAGTTCTGTCTGCAACAATTTTAGATTCAGAATCTGTTACAGAACGTCCTCTCTCCATCGGTTCTGCTGTACCAGGCATGCTTCTCCCTCTGCTCCTTGTTAAAATTTCACAACTCTCTTTCTCCTCGGTCTCGATTTTCACCCGATCCTCCCGTTTGATTTCGGTCTCATCTCTTGCTGATTTTTGCCTTTTATCGTATTCTCTGGCATTAAGGGTTTTCAATTTTCATTCTTCTATACATCTCATTTTGTTCAATTTCGCCATTCTAACATTGTTCTTTATGGATTCATCTCTTGACAGAGAAAATAACAAGTCTTTGTTGTAGTGTGTGTGTGTGTTTTGAGATTGTGAATGGGGGCCCCAAAGCAGAGGTGGACATCTGAAGAAGAAGAAGCTCTTAGAGCTGGAGTACACAAACATGGAACTGGAAAATGGCGGACTATACTCTCTGATCCTGAGTTTGGCTCAGTTTTGAAGTCCCGCTCAAATGTGGATCTCAAGGTAAAACCTCAAAAACAAGAACTTGGAAAGAGACTAATCGAAACTTACATTGTTTGGTCTGAAACACTTAGCGCAGGATAAATGGAGAAACATAAGTGCACAACATGGATCAAGGAGGAAGGCTAAGCTTGCTCTCAACAGAACTCCTTCGTCTGGTGCTAATCAGGTTGCTGACAACACAACAGCTCTGGCTAATGGTGATAATGCACAACAACACATTGATCCGACACCTCCTCCTCCTCCTGTTCCTTTTACAGGACCCTTTACAAGGTTTTTGGCTTTCTTTTCTTTGTCTTGTTTTAAGATATCTGGCTTTAGTCTAAGTTTCTTGAAGATGCTTTGCATATATGTCTGTTGTAGTGAGGATGTGATTATCTTTGAGGCCATTACCAACTGGAAGAAACCGTCTGGTCCTAACAAAAAATCGATCTGGCGGTATATAGAGGTACTGTTGAAACATATTCCTTTCTGCGTCTATTCATATCATCAAGGTCGACCTAACGTAGCTGTAAATTTTTGCAGGACAATTTCCAAATGGAACCGAGTAAGAAACTACATGTGACTTCAAGACTAATGCATTTGTCAAATGTTGGAGCGTTAATTAAGGTTATACAAAGAGACACTTTGATCCAAAGTTTCTGCTGACAAAAAAAAAAAATCACATTTTCGTTCATTGCTCACTTAACAGTTGGGTTTCTCTCGTCTTTGCAGACAAAGCACAGATACAGGATCTCTCCCAACTTTATGGCTGCAGCAGCAAATCTAACGTCTCAAAGACCTGAGGAGGATGGCGTCAGAGATCCTACTCAATCCCGTGTAGATGGAGAGTTGATAATTGGCATGACAGTACAAGAAGCTGCTGTAGCCGCCGCAAGAGCAGTGGCGGAAGCAGATTTTGCAGCCGCGGAATCTGAAGAAGCGACAAGAGAGGCAGATGAAGCAGAAGCTCTAGCTGACGCTGCCGTTGTTTTTGCACAAGCGATGCTCGAAACTTTGAATTTATACGATGCGTAGCCAAAACTCGGTAAAGGATTAAGAAGAAACCATTGACGGTGTAAGCTTAGATCCTTCTCAAACAGATACTGGAGCGCGCGCAATGTCAAAGTTTCAAAACTTGCAGTCTTTTCTTAGTTAGTAACAGTGTAAAACTCAGCTGCTTGTAACTCAAAAGGATTATGTAAAACCTCATTTTATTTTTCTATGTTGATCTGTTTTTTGCTAGTAACTTCACAGGTTTCTTGTAACCCATTTTGAAACTGGTCTCAAGAGAAATCACTAAGATCTTTGATCAAAATCACCGCTTGTTTCCACCCTGCTTGAGTAGCAATCGGACGTTGGGGTTTCTGCTCTTGTGTTTAACGCTGATGGGACCCTGAGTGACGTGAATATCTCAATATGATCAGGAATGGAGGATCGGACCAAAACGTTGATGACGTTATGTGAACATCTCTTCGTGAGCTTTGCAATTCGCATACTCAAACAGCATGCGACTAAGGCCATTTCAGGTATAAGGCCAAAGAAAGAAGAAGCAGAGTCTGAGCGTAATGATACGCTGGTTCCAGTACTGCAATATAAGAAAAGAAGAAAGAGGCTTCTTTGATTAAGACACGCAAAATTAGTCAAAGGAATTAAAAACGAGTCTAGACTTCTGATTCCTTCAACAAAAGGACCATCCCGATTTCGAAATCTTCCGCGACCAAAACGCTAACGCAATTACAATCACAAACGCAAATCGCATTAGATTTCACAAAAGGAATCATCGCAAAGTTGATAAATGGGCCAGGATTGTTAATGGGCTTTTTTAGACTTGCTCCCCAAGCTACATGTATTTGTTGAACAGAGCAGAAAAAAGGAAATTTCGTGACCGAACTCGAACAATAAAGGAAATCAACGGATAGATTTCTCGTAATTTCGTTTTTCCGAAACCCAATCCCATCTAAGATATACATAACCTAGTAGTGGCCTCCTCTCTCACTCGCATCACTCCTCATATTTCCCTCTCTCTCTCTACTAGTTCTTTTTCTCCATAATCTCTCTTTCTCTGCGTTTGTTCGATCTCAAAAACAAAACAACGATGGCTTTCTCCGATGATCTTCCACCACAAATCACGAAAGGTGCGAAGAGAAGAAGCAGAAAAAGAAGAATGATGAAAAGCAAAGACCTTAAGGAGGTGATTAGCTTGGCCACAAGAAACGCTCATGTCGCAAGGGACAAAGGGTTTTACATCGCCTCTCCTGAGGCCATACAATGCGTCGAGATCCTCAGACTTCTGCGAAGCTTGCCTCTTTCTCCTCGTCTCATCATCAAAACCGACTCCTTTCGCGCTGTTCAATTCCTCGCCACCAATGGTAACCCTAAAATCCGGTCCGAGTCGAGAGCCGTTGTTAGTCACTGGAAGGCCATTCTTGCGAACAAAAAAACAACTAATTGATCAGGGTTTTGCTTGGACAACGAGAGGACGACGGAGATTTCTCAACATCGATCGGATGAGTATAAAAAGTAGGGTTTATATCTTCATTGTGTTCAACAAAATTTGTAACGAATTCTCATAAATAGCAAAGTAATAATATTTCTTTCTTTTTTTGCTCTTGTCTACTTCAAATTTTATCATGTTGGAATCAAAAACTGCACAAGAACCAAATTGATCGTTACTGAAAAAAGTCTACAAGAAAGTTGTGTATGATTAAAGGCAGAGAATTAAGTAATAATGTATCAAATTGAGAATTATGGGCTAAAAAGAAGATGATTATCTAATATTGGGTCAAAAACATAAAAAGAGCAAAACTTATCCTAGTTTATCTCCGACAAAGAGGCAGTAGTAGAGGTAGGGCAATGTCAAAGTTTCAAACTTGCAGTCTTTTCTCAGTTAGTAACAGTGTCAACTCAGCGGCTTGTATTGTCTCATTTTCGGTTTCTTGTAAACCCATTTTGAAACTGGTTTGAAGAGAAATAACTAAGATCTTTGATCATAATCACAGCTTGTTTCTTTATAAATTGATTTAAATTTTCTAATGAACGCAATAAATTTATAAAGTGAGAGACGCTTGCTTTTGCTGTTTCCAAAATTGCATATGCTTAAGAATAGAAAACAAATCCACATCTAATATACAGAGACAAGACTGGACCAAACCAGACCAGACCAGCAGAGAGACAAGAAAATAAAAGACAAACTCATGTTTCACACGGAAAAAAAATTGTCTTCAACAATCATCATCATCAACCAACACAGCACAGGAACACTAAGAAGAGAGAGAATATGTATGTTCTTGGTGACGTTTAGTTCTTTGATTTCGAATGCTTCACGAGCCAATCAATGACCTGATCAATGTTGGTAGAGTTTTTGCAGGATATCATGAAACAGCAGACTTCTCTATCTGTAAGCGACGTAAGCCCCCTGCAACCACAAATGGAATATGAAAAAAAAAGATAATCAGATCAAGAACTAAATATTGAAGCATTTTGTACTGTTTTTGGAATATGTTCTGATGAAGAAAACAGCTATACATTTCTTCGGTTAAGGCTTCTTTAGACAGAGCTCCAGGTTTGTCGATCTTGTTCCCAAGAACCAGGAGAGGGATACCGTTAAGCGATGACTTGCTCAACAAATCATGGAGTTCACTTTTCGAGACACTTAGGTTGTCAGGATCTGCAACATCAACTACATACCTGGAAAAAAGGATATTCATTTTCAACATGAATCAAAAACCGTGGGAGATACAAAGAGAATAAAATAAATAAAAAGCAGAGTCTAAGATCATTACACAATCGCGGAAACAGCGCGGCAATAACGTTCCCACATGCTGCGGAATCTTGGTTGACCACCAAGATCCCATAGTTTGATTGTAACATTCCCTTTGGTCACTTTCCTCATGTTAAACCCGACCTAATAAGGAGAAGAAGAATCTCTTTATGCTATTCCAAAAAAAATCGAGTATATTGCCTTGAAAGACGAGTTTTTAACTTACCGTAGGGATCATGTCTTCACTGTATCCACCAGTCTAAACAAAAGTGAAAAAGATGAGGGTAAATATCAGATCCCTAACCACCATCAAATCAAAATTGACTGTTGACAGAATATAAAACAAAGGGGAGGCATACTTACTGCAATGACATTCACAAGTGATGTCTTCCCTGCATTTTGAAGCCCTATCAAAGAAAGCTCCATTTCTTGCTTGAAGAAGAGGCTGCAGAAGCACATCGAAGCAAACAAATGAATATAGGTCCACTCGAAATACCGAAAAAAATGAAACACTTTTCAAAAAGAGTATAGAGACATTATTGTCGACAACAGAACCAATCTTTCAGCAACAATTTAGATTTCTACACTATGTGCAGATAGGAAGAAAAAAACACATTTTTCATCTCCAACTACATTGAAATTACACAACTCCTGCATAGACCACACTGCTTAATTGAAAGAAGCTCTCTTTCTTAACTAGACCGAGTGCCAAAACCAAATCAATAACGTTGATAAGTTTCTCAATTCTCTCCCACATGGCTAAAATTGGCAATTCTTAAATCTAAGATGGATTCTCATGCTCCCCTAAGAAACGTATATCCTAAAACCCTACACTTAGCCATCATAACCAAAAACGTAGATTTTCAAGGTCACATCAAGTTCTTGAAGGATAAAGATTACAGAATCAGGAAACACAGAAACACTGTCAAAATCAGCTTCACAAACCAAATTAGAACGAGACTAGATTCCAGACTACTACTGCTGAGTCTATGTAATCTTGTTGCTAGATGATTTATTTCCAGAAAAAAACTAAATCCTAATTTAAAATATAAAATTCGGGTGAAAGCAACAAAGAAACTCAAAATTACAAGATAACATTCGATTTAACATTTTTCAGCTCAAGATGAAAAGGATGAAGAAGAAGAAGAAGAAATCTTAAAGGGGGTTCTCTCTCTCTCACCTACGAAGCCAATTGAGAAAAGCTTCAAATAACCCCATTGATGGATACACAGAAGAAACTCAATAGCTCCGAAAATCAGATCCGCTTGTTATAAGAATCCTCCTCGACGGATCTCTTTTGAGGGTGAAAGAGAAGCTTCTTCTCCTCCTTCGTCGCCTACTGTTGAATCTCTCTCTGTTCCCAGAGACGGCAAAATTAAAAGAGTCAAAGCCACGGAAATCAGCACCGTCCGATTTTTCTTCTGGTCCTACTAATCAACGGTCCTCATCTTGTAAGCGTTTCATTATCGGGGTTTTTGGTTGATAGAGCGAGAATCATGGGGGCGCTATTTAAAATAATTCATTTATTTATTTTTAAAATTGGTTTAGCCAATCAGAGAGGAGAGACACGGTGACAACAGAAGGAACTGGATAAATCAGCTTCATCACTCGCGTTAAAGAAAGCGCGTGATGAACACGTTCGTCCATCGTTTTTGGCCGGTGCCGCCAGAAAATTGGCCGTGATACACGTGGCGTGACAAATTTGTGGGCTTAAGTATATATGTTTACGGGCTCTTTCTCATGGGCTTTTTATCAACGTCTATTATACAACTGGCTTAGGAAAAGTGACGCTTGATGCATTATTTCTTGTGTTGTATCATTTTGATGACTTGACTTGAGAACAAAAACACTGACCATTACAACTTTTCTTTCACTGAATCATTGTTTCTACTCTGTTCAATGATGAGACATTTTCTACATTAAAGAATTAAGAATATAACAAGAGATGACAAGACTTTGGACATTCCAAGTGAAGAGATCATCAGTAAGTGAAGTTGCAGAGCAGCCAAAAAGAAGGGGTTCTTGTGGGTTATTCATGGGCTCTACTCGAACATGCTTGGGAGAGGTCTCATGGCCATGAACGCTTCCACCATCTCATCAGTAACATTAGCTCGAGCCCTGCGGTGTCTCTCCACAGTTTCTGTCAAAACTTCAGTGAGTCGCTTCTTTACTTCTCCGCTTAGCATTCTTCCTTCTCCATATTCCTTAAAACCACAGTTACTTTTAATGTCAGGTAGATCTTAATAAAGACAGAGATGAGAGCATTCTTTACTCTATGTAATGATCTAATAACAAGAGCCCTGAAGAGGCAAAGTGTAACGTAATTTCACCTTCTTTATGTGTTCAAGTTCAGTATCATCTTCCATGAAGAAACTCAGATACTTGACTGGTATATCCACCTGTGAACAAAAAATACAAGAAACGTTACAAAATAATTAAGTAATCAAGAACTAAACAAAATGAATTTGGTTACCTCAAGATTTGCTCCGACTTCTCTGTGCTTTTCGACCGAGTCTTGCCCACCACTGAACGCATATCTGTTTATCTGTACAAAAAAAAAAAAAAAAAAAAACCTCATCAAGTTTAGGAACAAGATACTTAGGAAAAAAACAAAACAAAATTAGCAGAACTTAACCTTGTTTTTAATCTCCTCTGCAGTATCAGTCACATAGATAGCAGAATTTGGATCACTAGCAGACATTTTCCCATTCTCTCCCTGCAAAAAAAAAAAAAAAGTGACCAAAGGCATTGAATATAGAATCCCAAGATATCTCTATCACTTTTTTCTTACAAGACTAAGTTATAAAGAAAGCACTTGCCTGAAGAGCAGGGAAAAACGATGACTCAATGAGAGCAGGCTTGCTATAGCTTAACCTCGGTGCAACATCTCGAGTCATTCTAAAATAAGGATCCTGGTCAATTGCACAAGGAATCAAGCAACGGAGATTCTCCTCACCAGGGAACAAGTGTGGGAATGTGCTAGCAAACGATGGAGCTGCCTGCACAGGAGGGAAACTGAGTTTTCCGATATGGTCTTCACCGGAAAAGCCATAGATCGCAATAGCCTTGTTAAGTGTAACACACTTTGAAACCTCCACCGCGTTTTCATGGAAAACGCCGCCATAAAAGTCAAAGTTTGAGAATATAAAGGTCTTTGTTACATCGAACCCGCAAGCGATTATATCTTTCACATTTTCTCTCCCAAGTCTTTTGCTTTCCTTCGGCTTTAAGTTCTTCCACATGCATTTTTCATCGTCCGTAATCTGTATAACGACGGGAACCTTGAAAGCTTCTTGCAAGTACTTGGTAAACAAGAAAGGTATCAAATGCCCTAGATGCAACGATTCTGATGAAGGTCCTCTTCCAGTGTAGAGATAGAACATGTCTCCTCTCTCATACGCGTCCAAGATCTTGTCGAAATCACGGTGGGCGAAGAAGACGCCACGGCGGAGGAAAACGTGCGGTTCACGAGAAGTCAGTCTCTGAACACGATCGATCAGTGACTTGTCGAGCCTTTTGCAGCCAAATTTGTCTATAAGCTTGTCGTAATCGATTTTTCCGCCGTCTTTGGCGGAGACTTCCCATGGATTCACCACTTGCTCCGAAGATTTAGACTGATCTCTCTCGTCGTCCTCCTTCTTATATGTTTCGAGAGCTGCTTGATGTTGCTTTGTTGTCTCCTGAAGCGCCTTGATCTCAGACTGCATCGAATCAAACCGTGATTTGAACTCTTGTCTCATGGCCTCAATCTGCTTCATTATTTTAGCAAGCTCCGACATCACTAGATCGCTGTCTCCCATTAATTGGATCGTCTTGCTCTGCTAACAAATTGATATGAGAACAGAGATTTAGCTAAGCTTCCTTTTAACCCTAATCTCTTTTTGAGAATAAGGTTTGGTCATAAGAAATCCTTATATTATAATGTAGCATTTACCACCAAAACCCTAGTCTAAATCCATATAACGTATCAGGTCCTTTCAAGGTTAGACATGTTAAAATCCCACTAATGTTGGTTTTGTTGGTTTGTGATGTAAAACCCAAAACCACACTACTCATTTGAAAGATGCTCTCATTCTTAATTAGACCGATCCTACCATGTTTAGTTGTTTACTATACAATTACTGAATTCATATTATATTTTCTTGAATATATAATAATAATGATTACTTATTTACCAACTGTTAAATTATGAATTGCTACCTTGTATTTGGTATTTTTTGGGTTCAAGTATACAAATTGGGGTAAGTTATTGACTACATTGACTAGTGTTTATATCCATCCATAACTACATTTCATATGGTTGAATGGAAAAGGAGAAAATAAGTACTCCTAATAAATTGATGCTAAATCGGAATACGTAAACTTGATTCTTAAAATTAAAAGTTGGATTATTAACCCTCTGGTTTTTCTGGCATTAAGCGAGAGACAAGAAAAAGGTGAAAAACGAATTGGTCAACCACTAAAGCCGTTAGGTTTAACACTTTTTTATTGCATGCATATTCAATTATTGATTTAGAGAAAGAAAAAAATAACAGTAACATTTAAATTCACAATGAAACATTGGTCCTAACTCCTAAGCTGAGTTTAGGTCCGATAATACAAGAAACCAAAAATATTACGAGTACCAGAAGTTATACTTTATATCGCTCGAAAACAGAAACTCAGCATAACAGCTCAGTTTAAACAAAAGCTTAAGGAGCTGTGATCGGCTTATTAGCTTTAACACGACTCTAAATAACAATCAATCGAATCACACATTGTAAAAGATAGTTTGTGTGGCAATTCGGACCACCATCTGGTTGATCTGTCAGGATGTAAAGATCAACAATGCGTTTTACTAATAAAACTTACTTTAACATAATTTAGAATACAATTGACCGAAATTTCAGAAGAAATAAATGTAATCGAGTAGTATATCTCACTAATTCCTCACTCATTTATTTGAATGCTATTTTTAAAGCTGTGTTCAATTACAACAATTGGTAATGTAATTTTGCAGGAAAAAAAAATTGGTAATGTAATTAGCGATAATGAATAATCCTACTAGACTGACTCATGGGGAAATATATTAACGAGACAAAGACAATCATTACATTTCCTAAATGAAAATAATAAACAGTTAAATAACCAGAACGGCAAGATCCCAAGAAAAAAGAAAACACAAAAACAAAGGCAGAAGAAACTCATCAGACGAGTAAAGAAGTATCGGTCTCGTCCTTTTGGTCGCACGTCTGAATCATCATCAAAGACCTCTCTTTGTCCCCGTGACAGATCCTTCTTAACCAAACGTCACCGACCCATTTCTTTAATTCCCCAAATCTCCCTCCTGGGGTTCAACAATTACGTTCCCAGGTTCGAGCTTTATCTCTGGATAGAATCTGAAACAATTGTAAATTCGAAAATTTGGTGTCTGTCTCCGCCATTGTTTGCTTCGGAGAAAGCTTTTACATTGAGAATCTCCCGGATTATTACATGTCGGAAAATTCGGCTCCGGCTGGTTTTTCAGGTGAGATCCCGAGAAATTTTGTCTTCTGTGTGTTTTATACAACTTTTTGCTATCTTCTGCTGGAAATTAGTGGTCTTTAAGGGTTTAGCTTCTGTTTGTTTGGATCTAGTATCGGAAATTGTGCTTAATATTTTGTGCTAATCAACCTGCTGAAATTGACTGACATTGCATTTATGCAACTCCTCAAATCGGATAATTCTCTTAAACCTGTTTGATTATCAGACACGAACTACAATTTGATGAATCTGACACTATATGTGGAACCCACATCTGTTCTAGGACATGTTCAGTAAAAATATCATCTCCCAAAAAGAGTAATTAGCTTGAATTAGGCCAAAACAGTTTCTTTAACTTAAGACGCTTTTACATTTGGATGCTTATGGTTCTTTTATTTGGGTGTGTTCAGGTTGTGTATCCTGGAGATAAATATCTTTGGAACAAAGTAAGTAAGAGAGAGAGAGGGGAGAAATAAAGAAAAAAATGAGGATGATGAAGAACAAACACAACAAGAAACCAACGTTACTGCGTTGCTCACTGTTCTCTCTAGTATCGACACTTGTGGGGTGTGTTTTCGTGATTCATCTAATCATGTTATATAGCAGAAAATATAGCGTAGAACCTGAAGTGTCTCCTCAGCTACTAATCCACCATCCCATCGTCCGCGAGCTCGAACAAGTCGAGGAAGAGAACATCCACATGCCTCCTCCAAGGAAGCGTTCTGCGAGAGCGATCAAACGCAAACCGAAAACACCGACCACTTTAATCGAAGAGTTTCTCGACGAGAATTCTCAGATCCGACATCTCTTCTTCCCCGACATGAAATCCGCTTTCGGTCCGGCCAAGGATGCTAACGACACATCGCATTACTACTTCCCGGGGAGAATCTGGACGGACACGGAAGGGAATCCAATCCAAGCACACGGTGGTGGCATTCTGTATGATGAAAGATCTCAAATTTACTATTGGTATGGCGAATATAAAGACGGACCAACTTATCATTCTCACAAGAAAGGACCAGCTCGAGTAAGTCACTTGAAATGAAGAAGAAAAAAAAACAGTTTCTTGAATGATAACAGTTTCTTGGATTTTGCTTTTTCAGGTTGATATAATCGGTGTGGGATGCTACTCGTCGAAAGATTTATGGACATGGAAAAACGAAGGCGTCGTGTTAGCAGCCGAGGAAACAGACGAGACGCACGACTTGCACAAATCCAACGTCCTCGAGCGGCCTAAAGTGATATACAATTCAGAAACAGAGAAGTACGTGATGTGGATGCATATCGACGACGCGAACTACACGAAAGCCTCCGTTGGTGTAGCCATAAGCGATCACCCAACAGGTCCTTTCGATTACTTATACAGCAAACCGCCACACGGATACGACAGCAGGGACATGACGGTCTTCAAAGACGACGATAACACCGCCTACTTGATATATTCGTCGGAGGACAACAGCGTCCTGCACATCGGCCCTCTAACCGAGAACTACCTCGACGTGAAGCCGGTCATGAGGAGGATCATGGTGGGACAACACAGAGAAGCTCCCGCTATCTTCAAGCACCAAAACACTTACTACATGATCACGTCGGGGTGCACCGGGTGGGCGCCGAACGAAGCGCTGGCTCATGCCGCTGAGTCGATGATGGGGCCGTGGGAGACGCTGGGGAACCCGTGCGTCGGCGGGAACAAGATATTCCGGTCGACGACGTTTTTCGCGCAGAGCACGTTTGTGATGCCTCTGCCTGGTGTTCCCGGCGCGTTTATATTCATGGCGGATAGGTGGAACCCGGCGGATCTGAGGGATTCGAGGTATCTGTGGCTGCCGTTGATTGTTGGTGGGCCGGCTGACCGGCCTCTTGAGTTTAACTTCGGGTTTCCGATGTGGTCGAGGGTTTCTGTATATTGGCATAGACAATGGCGGTTGCCTTTAGGAGGAGGGAAGAAGAAGATTGCTTAAGCTTTTAAGAGTCTTTCTTTATTCACCTGTTTCTTCTTCTTCTTCTTCCTCTTGTCTGTTGTGTTGCTGCTCATTGTTACTGTTGTTGTTGTGCTGCTTTGTTTTTGGTTACATTACAGGTAGAGAGAAAGAGAGTTTTATAGGCCATTGTGAATACAGATCACTCTGTTTTACTGACATTGTTCTGTTACTTTTCTATTTAAGAGAATCCGGTTTAAATTCGGTTTTCAGTTAAATTTTCCGGTTTATATTTTTCTTTCTTTGTTTATGAATATTGAAACTGAATAGAAGAAGCTAAATTATATTGAAACTGAGCCAAACCTATCTTCAATATTTTTTTTTGGTTTGGGACTAATCTTCCTATTCAAAAAAAAACTTAAAAAGTTTGGCTCTTTGTACCAAAAAAAAAAAAAAGTTTGGCTCTTGAGTTAACAATTCAATTAGGAGCTGGTTAAATCCGGATTGGGCTTTCTCATAGTTTCTTTCGGCATTCCACTCGCTTGTGACGGGTCAAAATAAACCCGACCCGAAACCGGAAAAAAGGGTAACTTTTTTTTTAATTGCGCCAATAAAATTAGGTCATCCCCAATAAAACCCTTGACGACGTTCTTCTGCCGGAGAGTTTTCGCAGTTACGGAGACGTTGTAGGAATGGCTGATCGAGAGAAAAGCGGCGGAGATAGCAGCAGCGAAGATGAAGATCCGAAGTGGAAAGCCGCCATCAATTCGATAGCCACTACCACCGTTTACGGCGCCTCCGCCATGAAACCCGCAGCTACTCAGTCATATGGAGATGGAGATTTTCGGCAAAAACCTAAAAAGCTGACGCATGCCCAGATGAAGGTTAGTCTATTACTTCATGTAACGCTAGTTTCATGTACAAGTAGCTTATTTTTTATACCGAAATTTCAAATTAAGAAGGCTTTGGTGTAAAGAGTTTTTCAATTGTTAGTGTTGATTATCATCTCAAAGTAGAATGTGAGGATAGTTTCTGTCTATCGGGTTTCTATCTGCAAGAACTTGTCAATGGAGCTGTTTTTGATCAGAAAGTTGCAAAATTTGGGTGCTCTCAGTGTTTTTGGGTTGTTCGTGAAACTCTCGTTTCATGGTGTTTAGTACTTTACCTATCTACATTCTTTGTTCATTGAGTTTGATTAAGGTAAGCTTGAAAAACAGGTGAAGAAGCTTTTGAATGAAATGGTGGAGAACACTCTAGACTTTGTGAAAGATCCTGTCAATGTTCCAGAGGATGATAAACCCGAGAGTGACTGTGGAGTTCGGTTATTTAAACGTTGTTCAACTGGAATCATCTTTGATCATGTAGGTTAGTAGTCATCATCACCTCTCTCTCTTTTAGATTCAATATTTGAATTTTGATTGTTACATCAATAAACTTGTTTCCTTGGTAACCAGATGAGCTTGAAGGACCCAAAAAGAAGCCTAATTTACGCCCTAACAGAGGAGTTGAAGGAAGCTCTAAAGAGGTTATTATACGTTTCTTATGGGTTGTTCTGCTCTTTCGTGGATCATGAATCTCTCGAAGCTAACTTCTTCTTTTTTTTCTATGGTTACTGCAGTTTAAGAAACGGATAAAATCAATCGTTGTTGATGGCTCGGATGTTTTATCTGCTGCAATAGAAGCGGCTAAGAAAGCCTCAGCGAGAGTGGAGGCGAAAGAAGCGGCCGCAAAAGCTAAAGCTAAGAAAGAGGAAGAGAGAGTCGCGGAGCTGAAGAAAGTAAGAGGAGAGAAATGGTTACCTTCTGTTGCACGAGAACTGCAGGTAAGTCTCATTTTTCTGCAACTTGTGTTTGTAGTAACACATGAACTTAACAAAACTCACTCTTTTGCAGCTGAACAAAAAACCAACATGGAGATCTGCGAAATCGTAGAGATTCATCTATCTATCCACTGAACTTGTTTTCAATTTGGAGGTAAAACAATGGAAATCTCATTACTTGAAGAAATATAGAATCACTCTCTTGGCTACAAAAATTTTAGTGAAGCAAGATTACGAAATCGTGTGATTTTTTGTTTTTGATGTAAGAGTGAGAGAGAGATTATTTGTTGTTGATGTAGTGAGAGTGAAGTTCTTCAGAGATGTTGTCACCATCGTTGTCTTTGATCCAGACGAAATCTTCTAATCCATCATAAATCTCCTCCACTGTAATTGCATTTTTCTTGGCTCCTTGTTTAGATGATGCAGAGAACACATTCTTTATTCCCTTGATCAGTCTCTTCCCGAGGCTCTTGTCGCGTCGTAGCTGCGATTGCGGCGGAGGAGATGCTCCTCTTCGCCGGTAAGTCGTGCTCAGTGATGAAACCGACCCTCTCTCTCCTCTCTGCGCCTTGTTCACGTTACTCTGCTGGTGGAAACTCGCGGATCGAGCAGAGTCCATCACGCTCCTTGACTTTGACTCGACGATCCGGTCTGGTTTCTGCTTCTCCGACTCTTTCGATATGAACTTCCTCATCGCGTCGAGCTCTTTCTCCAGGCTCTGGATCCTCGAGCTTGTCGAGTCCATCGCAGCTCTCAGCCGACAGTTTTGCCGCGCCGCCGTGTCTCGCTGGAGAAGCGCCCCGAGCGTGGCGGAGGGTTCTCTCGCCGCGCCGGGAACCTCTCGTTGTCGGTGTCCGGCTGGAGCGGCGTCGGCGGCAGCCATGATCGAGTGGCGCGTGTTCACCTGCTCTTGTAGCATCGCGCGTACGATAAACCTCAGGGGCATTTTCGGGTTTTGGACGGCGTGAAGGAGTAACGGCGGCGAGAGTTTGTCGCAGTCTATCGAATTACATATCTGAACCTTCTCTTCCTCCGTTATCTCTCCGTTATGCTCCTGCAAAATTAAAATTTACATCAAATCATAAAACGACACGTAACGTATTAAGTTTAATACCGAGTCACAATGACGAGATTAGCTTTTTTTTTTTTTTTAACCTTCATATAAGCATCAACGACTCTGTAAAGCAAATCGTGGCGCGGGAAGAGACGCTGCACGGCGTCGGCGACGACAATGAAATTTCCGGCGGGAAGTATAACGGCATCCTCGAGAAACTCGTTGACGCTGTCTCCGTCTCCAACTTCCGACAAAGCTTCAATGCATCTTCCTACTAAAAAAGCCGTCGTCTCCGACTCCGGAAGCAAGACAAGGCATGAACTGAGAACGATCTTGATGTAATCAACTTTGACGAAGATGACTCGTCGGAGATAAGTCTCCGTTAAGTTCCTCAGGTTGTCTCTAACGTCGTTGCCTCCAGTTCCCGTCATCAGAAGAATCTCGACAGCGACTCTCAGCGAAACGACATTGAACGGCGTTAGTTCAATGTGAGCGCCGTAACAGAATGCCGTTACTAACGAGAACGTTTCAGCCGTTATTTTTAACGGCGGTGAGAGAGTTAATTCGTTAACTCCCGTTAGGTGGCGTTTTAAATAGCCACTCCTTCTTGACAGAGGATCCTATGGGATAATAAAAACATCACATACAATTAAAACCAAACCTTTTTTGCTTGTTTGCATTAAATGTGTAATTTCTTCTCTTTAAACATTATTATGCAATTAAAAATCAAATAAAAATACAATTAGCTCATCTCATTAAAAATTTGTTGAAATTTGTATTGATTTTGATGAAACTGAGCAATGTCTGAAATTGGAAAACAAAAAGTTCGAAAAATTGTAACCTTGTGAAGATGGAAGCTTGTGCCTCCCACATGTACCAACACATCAGGTTTAGAGTTATTAGCTAACGACCTGAATAAAATATAGAAAAATAATCATAGCCAATAAAATTTTTATACAAAAAAAAGCGGTAATGAAAAGTTTGGTAAGTTTACAGAGAAACATTACCATTTATGGACTCTAGATTCAAGCTCCATCGAAGGAGAAGAGAGATTGATACGTTGTTGAGGAGAAGGAGACAAAGATGAAGAAGAAGAAGAGTAGGAAGACGAGTGTTCCACGTAGTCTTCTTCTTCATAGATCGTATCAACAAATCCTAAATTTGTCCATCGCTTCATTCTTTTCTAAGGAAGAGAAGATGAAAGAAAGAAAGAAAAAGATTTGTGCGATCTCAGAGAAGATTCGAATTCGCCGGTTAGGTTTTTGAGAGTAAAGAAGAAAAGGAAACTCACAGTGAATTGGCAATAAATGTGGTAATAGGGGAAATAAATGACATTTTTGTGATCGTTATAATATACGTGAAAGTCTTTAAATGCGTTTTTCCTTTTCTTTCGATAACCTTCTGTTTCATATAGAGGGACCACGTCCACATGCTCCAGAAGTGTTAGGTTCTACATCCAAAATTTCACGAGATTCCAAAATATATTAGATTGCTGTGTACTAGTGCATTAATCTTCCACCTAGATTGAAGTTTGAATGGTTTTGTTCTTACTAACTAGCATATTTGTCGTAATAACCATAAACAGTTTCTATGACTATATATATGTCTACCATAATTGTTACGGAGGAAACAAGAATTCATCTGTTATGGATTTTTGATCGATGATTTTAAATTATGTACCGAAAGTTCATGTTATCTCGTAATGCAAAAAAGATTAGTTTAATTCTGCAAGTTCAAAAAATATATATTCTCATGATATATATATACCCTCACATTTTGTCATCCTAGCTTTTAATTATCTGTTTAAAGTGTTTTCAATTATCACACATATGTTTTCTACTTTTCTTTGAAACGTTACTAATATTTAACAAGGATTAACTATATGGTATTTTTATTTTGCAGAAATTATGCTTTCGTTTATCTTTTTCCAATCAAAGAATATATGTTTCATGATACCAAAGCTCCTCTAAATTGCATGATACAATAAAACTATTTAAAACATGACAGATATCAATTATAACAGCGAAATCATTTTGTTTAGACTGATTGCATCTAGGGATCATAGATTGAATATGCTTATTTGAATACCTAAAATCTACCTGTCGCTTTGACTTTTGAATGCATATATAGATACAAGGTAAATTATGATTCTTTGAAATTCTGAATATGAACAAAGATTATAAAACTATGACCCATGGTGTGTGTGTGAGTCTGTGACTGTTGACTCGCGTTGCTTATATAACTACCTCATGATCATATAATAAAACTAGTCATTTTTTGACGATAAAACTAATCAATTATCACATGAGAGAGACATTCACAAATTTTATTTCCTGCCATTCTCTAAAAAAAACCGAAGAATTTATAAAACTTTATGGGCCAAATGTGTAATTCCTATAGAACAGGCCCACTATTAAACTCTCAACAGTGAAAGTCTTATACAAGCCGAGGCCCATTCATAACAAAGCCCTAATTTCGAGAAAACCTAGCTGTGCATATAGTGTTATACTATATAAGCTTTGTTAACACTCTCAATCGCTTCCTCGTTCACAGAAAAAACCCTAGAGAGAGTTTCTCCATCCCCAAAACCGGCGGCGAAGATGAAGTACAACCCTCGCGTGACCTCCTCTCGCAGGAAGAACAGGAAGGCTCATTTCACCGCCTCCTCAAGCGAGAGGCGTGTGATTATGAGCTCGGCGCTCTCCACTGACCTCCGCCAGAAGTACAATGTCAGATCCATGCCGATCCGCAAGGACGACGAGGTCCAGATCGTTCGCGGGACCTACAAGGGACGTGAAGGAAAGGTTGTTCAGGTTTACCGTCGCAAATGGGTGATTCACATCGAGAGGATCACGAGGGAGAAGGTGAACGGAACCACCGTGAACGTCGGAGTTCAGCCGTCGAAAGTGGTGATTACGAAGCTCCGTCTTGACAAGGACAGGAAATCGCTCTTGGAGAGGAAGGCTAAGGGTCGCGCTGCTTCTGATAAGGAGAAGGGAACCAAGTTCACTGCTGAGGATATTATGCAGAACGTTGATTAAACAAGATTTTCGTAAGGGTTTCTCTTTAGTTTTAATCAGCTCTCGTTTTTAATTTTGTTTTTATTTTTCCGGAATGTTATCAGTGTTGCTTTATGGTTCTGGACATGAGAACGTATTATCTTTTGATTTCAAAACTTTAAGTTTGATTATGGAATTGTCTTTTTGCCATTTTGATATCTATCTTGTTTGCTTCTGTATGATTATGCTTGTTTGTGAATGTGGATGAGTTTGATGTGGAACCTCATTCGATTGCTCTAGGAATTGTAGCGAGTCTAGTGATAGGTGTACTCATGGATTTGTTATTAGTGGTATCAATCTAGTAAGTTATTTGATAAGCATATTTGTGGTGTCAAATGCCATTTCATTGAAATTTCTTTTTTATTAAAAATTATTGCATTCTAGAATCATTTTCAGAGTAGATGTTTGTTGTTTGTGGAAGTGGATGATCCATTTCGATTGTAGTGGGTTACGTTTATATTCAACATTTGGTTATTAAATCGTTTTCATTTTTTCGATTATCTTTTGCTTAAATCGTCTGTTCTAATGCTTCATCACGTAGTTTTCGAGTGTCTTATTGACTAATTACCGGAACACTGCCAGGATTCGCAAAAATTACACCTCGAAACAAATTCCTTTTCAAATATTCAAAGTTATCTGATTGATTCTGTCTTCTCACCAAATTGTTTTTTCTTTTCCAAAATCCTCTTTCAATGGAAATCAAGCTTATAAAAATGCTTCAGTATGTTTTTACAACATGTCCTAGAATTATTGGCAAATCAATTCAATTGTCCATGGAATTATAACGCAAAACCGTTACACCGAATGAGAATTATCGAGTCTATTGTCTGTAGTTAATTTTTTCACCAATTATCCACGATGTTTGTTTCTCGTATCCGAACCAAAAAAATTATTACGATTTTTCATCGGATCAGAAAATGATAAAATTGTTTCATTGAGCGTGTTCAAGAATGAAATCACGAGAAGAATTTTCCGGCTACCTCCCGAACTCATTTATTCAATAGAAAAAAAGGGACCCAAACTCAAGCCTCAAAACGAAAAGGGGATTTTGTGTCCTCTGTTAGACCAAAGGTCATTGGTATGTGTATCTAACTACTAGGCTCATCAAGGTTTAAGAGCAAGCGAGAGACCAAACCTTGGGTTCTTCTCTAATGTCTTGGTATCGAACTCACCTGAGATTGTCACTATCGACTTCGGAAGAACCTCATGTTGCAGAAGAGCTCCAAGCTTACCGTCACTATTCAGCTTAGCTTTCACATTCGTCAAGTGATCAACGACATACAATCCACCAACTGTAATTACGTTCTCGTTCGTTGAGAATTTCCTGAAAACCTCTCCCACTGCAGCGCTTCTCTTCGACTCGTCTAGGTGATGGATATAAGAAGCTTTGATCGAATCTGCTTTATCTCCCCTGAAAATTCCGGAGAAGAAGATTTTCTTGAGCATACAAAAAAAAAACAGCTTCTTAGCTCTTAGCTTTGATTCAAAAGGAGTCTTTTTGTTCATCATACAATATTACGGAGGCACATTTATCTGGCATTGTGACACTGATTCCGAAGTTGTACTTTGTGAAAGTTCGAGACGTTGTGTCATATCCAGCTTCAGCACCGAATGAGATAGTTGGTGAACCAAGCGTGGCTGTTACATCGATTACAGGGTTTTGTTTCAAAGCTGCAGTCGTGGTAACCGTTGCGTGATCATGGAAGTATTGCACCTCCAGCTGTGAATCGTAGTTAAGTTTTGAATTCAGAAGTCTGAAGAATCATTATACATACATATAAATATCAAGGAAAGGAAGATTCTAAACTGTGAAAAGTGAAAACCTTGCTAGAGTTGTAATCAGGCACTTTGAAGGAAGCGATGGCTTTTGTTGATGGGAGGATTTCAGTGAGCGTGATGGTTGTCAGGACCTGTGCCAGGTGAAAAGAAGAGGTGAATAAACATGGTTTTTACAAACTTAGTGTGAATCTTTCAAGACAAAGTTGTTTTGAGTGGATCAAACGCAGAGAGTTTACATTCGAATCAGTGTCGATCTTGACATCGAACAAGGCGTTTCTGTACTTGTATTGTGTAGCAACATCAGCAGCATGTATGGCACCTTTCTTAAGAGCAGTTGAAGTAAGAGCCTATAGAACAGTAAAAGACAGTGACAATATTATAAAAGTCAGTGGATTCAATGCAACCATTTTAGTGTTTTAAGTAGCTGAAGCCACAAATGTAAAATTGTACCAGGAAACATGTTATTAGCTAGCAATTCATGTAATTGTTCATCGTCATCCTGTTATGCTACTTTCAATAAATCCAAAACTGAGATGATCCTAACAAAATGACAACAAGTGCAAGACGATTATCACAGAAGAGATTGTACAATGCTTATGTAGTAGAATCTACCAGGAGAAGGTTTTGCCTCCAGAATCAAAAGATAAACCAAGATTGACTTTAAACTCACTTTATATCAAGAATCTAACTAATGTATTCCTAAGATCATTCTGCCTCTCAAATGTTCTGAAAATCATTGACTTGTTAAAGCTATCACTGCTCTAACAGGTGAAGAATCTCATATATCAAATCTAGAACTCGTGAAATCCATTTGAACGAATATATATATATATATATATATATATATATATATCAAACCAAGAAGAATTGCTTCATGTGCTGCATAATGGAATCAGTGTGAAATCGAAAATGTGCGGATCTAAACCTTTCTAAGAACATGATTCAGATTATAAAAAGCTAGACACAGTTGAATCGGGATTTTCATACTTACCAGGCCAGAAGCACTGCTAGTGGAAACACTGAATTTCTGATCGGTGCTGTAGTCTCTCGTCAACAGATCTAACACAACGGAAACACTGAATCAGCTTACGGAAAACCAAATTTCATCAACCTCGACGTCCGGAAAAAACTTAATGCGATATCTACTCGAAAAATCATAAACCAGTGGAGATGAAGAATGGAAGATTTACCTTTGGCTTTTTTGCCGATGTCAGTGAACAGTCCCGGTCCCTTACTCATGGTGATCGGAGAACTCGAGAGATCGCCAAAAGTAAACTGAGAAATACAGAAGTCGCGAGAGAGAGGAGAATCTAGCAGGTGAATGATATTGAGGACAGTGGAGAGTAGCTTTCATAAAGATACCTTAAAATTACAAAACTGTTTATCTTTAACCAAAAATGGTTTCGTGGTGTAGTTGGTTATCACGTCAGTCTAACACACTGAAGGTCTCCGGTTCGAACCCGGGCGAAGCCATCATAAATTAACTTTTTGTATTTAATAGAACCATATACATCAAACGTGGTGAGCCCATTGGGCTTTTGATAGCCCATTAGCTTAATGGATAATAAAAGCATATTATATTTCATAGAACAATATGCATCAAACTTGGTGAGTCCATTGGGCTTTTGATAGCCCATTAGTTTAATAGATAATAAAAACATATTATATTTAATATTTTTTAGGTAATATTGTCAACAATCCCGGTTCATTAGGAAGATTCACATTGACCAGAATAGCTTGAGCTATATTTTTTTCATTTCAGATTAACAAAGAGATACAAAACAAAACTTGATCTTCTTTATGATTATTAGTTAGTGAAAAAAAAAATTTTACCAAAAAAAAAAACTATGATATAATGATAACTATTTTAAACGAGAACCAAGATAGTAAAGATCATTGTGGATGCAATTCACTCTATAAACTTATAATGATTATTCAAAACGTAACGTCTTTTCTCTCAAAAAATGGTGTTTCTATCTCCGATATAGGGATTCGTGGGTTCTATGCAAATCCTTTTGAGGGAATCTGGTCAATGCATGGGTGACAAAGATGAGGAAGGATGCGATCTTATGCTGGAGACGTGGAGGGGGTTTTTGATTAAGGTTTGGAAGGAGATTCGGCTTCTTCGGAACCGGAGAAGATTCTTGGAATTTATCACTTCATGGTTCAGAAATTTGGGAAAGATATTGGGGATCCTGCGATGGGGGAAGGAATCGGGGAAGAGAAATCACGAGATGAGGGTCGACATAATATCAACAGATCCAGGGGACTGGGGAAATTGGATGATTCCGGAAGTTTGGATCCGTCATGTGATCGGAAAAGGAAAGAGATCTCTCCAGGCCCTGATTCTCATCACTTATTCCTTATTCGTCAAATCTATACTGACAGATATGGTGCTACAAGACCAGGTTCGGAAATATCGGACATCACTAATTTATGGGGTTTCTCTGATTAATAGGCCAACGGGAGGATCTTCGGGATCTCCAGATGCGATTTGGGAAAGAGATAATGTAAGGAATTGCATTAGATACCGTGAGTTTCAGCTTCAGGGACTGGAAATTAATCAAATTGGCGGAGAATCATGTTTGATTATCAAATTGACGGAGAATCATGGTGATGAGGAATGTCGGGTCGCGATTAAGATAATAAAATACCTCTGGATGCCATGTTTGATTACTGGTGCCATTTATGGTAGATTATTCGGTCTATATTTGGTTTTACTACTGGTTCCGATAGGTGATCATACTGGTGGGAAGGATATAAAGAGAGACATTGAGTCGATCACAAGTACACACCTATCTCGACACATTGTTTCTCTTTGCTTACAAGGTTTTTTCTTTCGTGGTCTCTCAGATATCATAATGTCTCAAGCAAATCAAATGATCAATGGTAGCTCAGGCAAAAGAAAGGGAACGCTAGCACCACGCCTTAAAATTACAGTCCCCCGGTTTGACAATTCAGAGCTTCTCAAAAGCTACAATCGGATCCTCATTGGCCGGTGTATGAATCCAGCAGCTCAGGCGATGAAGGCCCTTTTGTTCATGCTACCAAGGATTTGGAAGACGGAAGAGCGAGTTGCAGGAGCTGATCTTGGCATGGGGAAGTTTCAGTTCGACTTTGATGAGGAAGAGGATATTCAGGCGGTTTTGCAAATGGGTCCCTTCCACTTCGATGGATGGATGGTGGCTTTAGTACGGTGGGAACCGGTCATGGAGGTCAATTACCCTTCTGCAATCACCTTTTGGGTCAGAATGATGGGAATCCCTCTCCACTTCTGGGCTGAACCAACCTTTCGCAGCATAGGTCAAGCCCTCGAGACAGTGCAACAGGTGGATTTGGATGGCGGAAGGGTTCAAGTAATCATCGATGGCTTCAAGGCAATTGTTTTTGAAACAACGGTCGAGTTCCACAGTGGTGAAGAGACCACAGTCATCCTACGGTATGAGAGGCTACACGGGTTCTGTAGAGAGTGCTTGAGCTTATGCCATGAGTCCAGCAGATGTCCAACACTGGTACCAAAGAGGGAAAGAAGGGATGAGGCAAGGTACTCAGATGAGAAACCAGATGGTGGTGCAAAGAGTTACAAAGGAGCTCTTGGAGGTCTCGGAGAAAGTAGGAAAGATAATACAGTTGAGGGGCGGTTGCAAGGGGAGTCATCTAAGGGTAAAGGAAAGATGGTGGATTCACAAGAGGAAGAGAGTCGCCTAGGAAAATCCCAACAGAGAATGAATGGTGCTCCAACGGAGAGGTTAACGAGACCATTACCACCAAGGGATGCTAGGAAGCGGTTTGGTGGGGTATCTCGCAGTATTCACCGCTCTACGGAGGAGTATAAATCAGGGAGTGTGACGACCGGTGATCGGACGGAGAAGGCGACCGAGGGGATACTTGGGGAAAGTGACAAGGACAGTCCTCCCCTCCATTCTGCAAAAAAGGTATGAAAGGGAATCACATTTGAGAACACAGATATTGGGACAAAAGCAATATATGACATAACTGCTCACGTCGTCATGGGGAAAGCGGATGACGCTGCAGTAGCAACAAAGGAGATACGAGAGCAGTCGATAGAGAGAAAAGAAGCTGCAGATGCTAACACCAACGACATGGGATATGACCAGGAGGGACTCATGGATGATATATCTGGTGACTTTGATTTTGCAGATTTGGAGGAGACTATGGAAGAAGTGGAGGAAAACCAGTTACCGGGAATTAACAATATTGAAATTGAGACACTTTGTTTTGATCAAGGCGAGACACTATCCGGAGCAGGTGGAGAGGATAATCAACTTATTGGAGCGACAAAGGCTACGATTAAGGCAGGGGCAAAAAAGCGACTTTTCAAACCTTCTATAGTGGTGGGAGGTGGCTCCCGCAAGATGATGCATGGCACCACACCGAAGAAGAAAGAAAATTTAAGAGAGGTTAAACGTGGAGGGGAAAAAGAAAAAGGGTATATGCAGCCTAGGAAGAGCGAGGTCCCACTGGAGGGACAAGGAGATAACTATAAGATTTAATGCGGGTATTAAGCTGGAACTGTCAAGGTCTGGACAACAGATACACAATAAGCTATCTCAGGGAAATTTGGAGAAAATTCAGACCGGATTTTTTATTTCTTTCTGAAACAAAACAGTGTTTTAATTTTGTTGAGCAATTTTAATTTCATTTTGGTTATGATTTGTTGTTCACAGTTGATCCGTGCGGTGCTAGCGGTGGCTTGGCATTATTTTGTAATAAAAACTTTGGAGTTAAAGTTTTATTTTCAAATAAAAGAATCATTGATATTGAGGCAATTATTGAAGGAAAATTAACTTTTATGTCATTCGTTTATGGCGATCCAGTTCAAAAATTAAGAGATCAAGTGTGGGAACGTTTAACAAGAATGGGATTAACAAGGAATGATCCCTGGTTTCTAATTGGTGATTTTAATGAAATAACTGGCAACCATGAGAAGCAAGGAGGAATAATAAGACAAGCATCTACCTTTGTTGGTTTTAATACAATGATTAGTAACTGCGGTTTACTTGACTTTCCAAATTGCGGAAACACATTATCGTGGAAAGGTAGACGCAATGGACGGAATGTTCGTTGTCGACTAGATAGGGGACTTGCAACAGAAGACTGGCATGATTTATTTCCATTCTCATACGTTGAATACTTGAGAATGATTGGATCCGACCATCGACCTATTGTAGCAACAATAGAATCCAAAAAATTTCGACGGAAAAAACAATTCAGGTTTGACAAGAGATGGATTGGTCAGGAAGGTCTAATGGATGCCATAACACGAGGTTGGCAGGAAAATAACACTCATGGTTCTCGATCTTTGGTGGATAAGATTGTCAATTGTAGACATGAAATTTCAAAATGGCGTCAAGACAATAAACCATTTGGTAGAAATAAGATTGAAAAACTTCAACGGGAACTTGAGGAAATACAAACGGATGATACGCGGACCCAAGATGAACTTAATGAGATACACAAAAGCTCAGAGCAGCTTACCGAGAGGAGGAAGAATTTTGGCAACAAAAAAGTCGGAATATTTGGAATAGATGTGGGGATCTAAATACAAAATTTTACCATGCTATAACAAAACAACGGAGGACAATAAATCGCCTAGTCGGTTTACACGATAAGGATAATAACTGGGTGAGTGGGGAAAAGAGGATAGAACAGGTTGCGGTAGAATATTTTTCAGGGCTATTTTCATCCACTCTACCAATGGATCTAGTGAATATTTTGGGGGAAATAAACATGGAAATAACGGACCAAGAAAATGGTGAACTTACTAAACCGGCAACGGAAGAAGAAGTGAAAGAAGCATTATTTATGATGCACCCTACCAAGGCTCCGGGACTAGACGGAATGACAGCTCTATTTTACCATAAATCTTGGGATATCATTAAGAGTGAGGTGGTACATCAAGTGAACCAATTTCTCGAGTCAGGAGCATTTGATAAAAGGCTAAACTTGACAAACATTTATCTTATTCCAAAAATAGACAGACCAACTCAGATGACAGAACTACGACCCATAAGTCTATGCAATGTCGGATATAAAATTATATCCAAAGTATTATGTCAACGATTGAGGAAATTATTACCACGGCTAATCTCGGAAACACAATCGGCCTTCGTCTCAGGAAGGCTCATATCGGATAATATTCTAATTGCACAAGAAATGTTTCACGGGCTTAGAACAAACAACTCCTGCAAGAAACAATTCATGGCAGTTAAAACAGACATGAGTAAGGCCTATGATCGGGTAGAATGGTCATTCATTAGACGACTACTTAGGAAAATGGGTTTTGCAGAGCAATGGATTAAATAGATTATGTGGTGCATAGAATCGGTTCAGTACAGAGTTTTTATAAATGGAAATCCAAGAGGTAATGTACAACCGAAAGAGGACTCAGACAGGGAGACCCACTGTCCCCTTACATTTTTATTCTTTGC